TTCTTTAATAAAAATATTCTTTAATAAATCCACGCCTCAGTTGGCCCTTGAAAAATATTCTTTAATAAATCCACGCCTCAGTTGGCCCTTGAAAAATATTCTTTAATAAATCCACGCCTCAGTTGGCCCTTGAAAAATATTCTTAATAAATCCACGCCTCAGTTGGCCCTTGAAAAATATTCTTTAATAAATCCACGCCTCAGTTGGCCCTTGAAAAATATTCTTTAATAAATCCACGCCTCAGTTGGCCCTTGAAAAATATTCTTTAATAAATCCACGCCTCAGTTGGCCCTTGAAAAATATTCTTTAATAAATCCACGCCTCAGTTGGCCCTTGAAAAATATTCTTTAATAAATCCACGCCTCAGTTGGCCCTTGAAAAATATTCTTTAATAAATCCACGCCTCAGTTGGCCCTTGAAAAATATTCTTTAATAAATCCACGCCTCAGTTGGCCCTTGAAAAATATTCTTTAATAAATCCACGCCTCAGTTGGCCCTTGAAAAATATTCTTTAATAAATCCACGCCTCAGTTGGCCCTTGAAAAATATTCTTTAATAAATCCACGCCTCAGTTGGCCCTTGAAAAATATTCTTTAATAAATCCACGCCTCAGTTGGCCCTTGAAAAATATTCTTTAATAAATCCACGCCTCAGTTGGCCCTTGAAAAATATTCTTTAATAAATCCACGCCTCAGTTGGCCCTTGAAAAATATTCTTTAATAAATCCACGCCTCAGTTGGCCCTTGAAAAATATTCTTTAATAAATCCACGCCTCAGTTGGCCCTTGAAAAATATTCTTTAATAAATCCACGCCTCAGTTGGCCCTTGAAAAATATTCTTTAATAAATCCACGCCTCAGTTGGCCCTTGAAAAATATTCTTTAATAAATCCACGCCTCAGTTGGCCCTTGAAAAATATTCTTTAATAAATCCACGCCTCAGTTGGCCCTTGAAAAATATTCTTTAATAAATCCACGCCTCAGTTGGCCCTTGAAAAATATTCTTTAATAAATCCACGCCTCAGTTGGCCCTTGAAAAATATTCTTTAATAAATCCACGCCTCAGTTGGCCCTTGAAAAATATTCTTTAATAAATCCACGCCTCAGTTGGCCCTTGAAAAATATTCTTTAATAAATCCACGCCTCAGTTGGCCCTTGAAAAATATTCTTTAATAAATCCACGCCTCAGTTGGCCCTTGAAAAATATTCTTTAATAAATCCACGCCTCAGTTGGCCCTTGAAAAATATTCTTTAATAAATCCACGCCTCAGTTGGCCCTTGAAAAATATTCTTTAATAAATCCACGCCTCAGTTGGCCCTTGAAAAATATTCTTTAATAAATCCACGCCTCAGTTGGCCCTTGAAAAATATTCTTTAATAAATCCACGCCTCAGTTGGCCCTTGAAAAATATTCTTTAATAAATCCACGCCTCAGTTGGCCCTTGAAAAATATTCTTTAATAAATCCACGCCTCAGTTGGCCCTTGAAAAATATTCTTTAATAAATCCACGCCTCAGTTGGCCCTTGAAAAATATTCTTTAATAAATCCACGCCTCAGTTGGCCCTTGAAAAATATTCTTTAATAAATCCACGCCTCAGTTGGCCCTTGAAAAATATTCTTTAATAAATCCACGCCTCAGTTGGCCCTTGAAAAATATTCTTTAATAAATCCACGCCTCAGTTGGCCCTTGAAAAATATTCTTTAATAAATCCACGCCTCAGTTGGCCCTTGAAAAATATTCTTTAATAAATCCACGCCTCAGTTGGCCCTTGAAAAATATTCTTTAATAAATCCACGCCTCAGTTGGCCCTTGAAAAATATTCTTTAATAAATCCACGCCTCAGTTGGCCCTTGAAAAATATTCTTTAATAAATCCACGCCTCAGTTGGCCCTTGAAAAATATTCTTTAATAAATCCACGCCTCAGTTGGCCCTTGAAAAATATTCTTTAATAAATCCACGCCTCAGTTGGCCCTTGAAAAATATTCTTTAATAAATCCACGCCTCAGTTGGCCCTTGAAAAATATTCTTTAATAAATCCACGCCTCAGTTGGCCCTTGAAAAATATTCTTTAATAAATCCACGCCTCAGTTGGCCCTTGAAAAATATTCTTTAATAAATCCACGCCTCAGTTGGCCCTTGAAAAATATTCTTTAATAAATCCACGCCTCAGTTGGCCCTTGAAAAATATTCTTTAATAAATCCACGCCTCAGTTGGCCCTTGAAAAATATTCTTTAATAAATCCACGCCTCAGTTGGCCCTTGAAAAATATTCTTTAATAAATCCACGCCTTTGGCCCGCCTAAATCCACGGCCCTTGAAAAATATTCTTTAATAAATCCACGCCTCAGTTGGCCCTTGAAAAATATTCTTTAATAAATCCACGCCTCAGTTGGCCCTTGAAAAATATTCTTTAATAAATCCACGCCTCAGTTGGCCCTTGAAAAATATTCTTTAATAAATCCACGCCTCAGTTGGCCCTTGAAAAATATTCTTTAATAAATCCACGCCTCAGTTGGCCCTTGAAAAATATTCTTTAATAAATCCACGCCTCAGTTGGCCCTTGAAAAATATTCTTTAATAAATCCACGCCTCAGTTGGCCCTTGAAAAATATTCTTTAATAAATCCACGCCTCAGTTGGCCCTTGAAAAATATTCTTTAATAAATCCACGCCTCAGTTGGCCCTTGAAAAATATTCTTTAATAAATCCACGCCTCAGTTGGCCCTTGAAAAATATTCTTTAATAAATCCACGCCTCAGTTGGCCCTTGAAAAATATTCTTTAATAAATCCACGCCTCAGTTGGCCCTTGAAAAATATTCTTTAATAAATCCACGCCTCAGTTGGCCCTTGAAAAATATTCTTTAATAAATCCACGCCTCAGTTGGCCCTTGAAAAATATTCTTTAATAAATCCACGCCTCAGTTGGCCCTTGAAAAATATTCTTTAATAAATCCACGCCTCAGTTGGCCCTTGAAAAATATTCTTATCGGGCGGAAATATATAGGCTCAAGTCAGTACGTTATGCGAAATTTCGTGCAAATCGAAGGACATATAGGCACTTTGGTGCACCATATACATGAAATCGGACGAAACAATCGAAAGATATATAGGGACTTTGGAGCACCATTTACAAGAAATCGGACGAAACTATATATGAGAGCTATATCTAAATCTGGACCGATTCTCACGAAACTTGGCAGACATCATTCTAGACCTAAATAATTAGGCTGTACCAAATTTCGTGCAAATCGGAAGATATATAGGGACTTTGGGCGCCATTTACATAAAATCGGACGAAACTATATATGGGAGATATATCTACATCAGAACCGATTTTCTCGAAAGTTGGCAGACATCATTCTAGGCTCAATTCAGTGCGTTATTCCAAATTTCGTGCAAATCGAAAGATATATAGGGACTTTGGGGCACCATTTACATGAAATCGGACGAAACTATATATGGGAGCTATATCTAAATCTGGACCGATTTTCACGAAACTGGACCGATTTTCACTGACAGACATCATTCTAGGCTCAATTCAGTACGATTTCTTGTGATTTGCACGAAATTTGGCATATTTCGTGCAAATCGAAAGATATATAGGGACTTTGGGGCACCATTTACATGAAATCGGACGAAACTATATATGGGAGCTATGTCTAAATTTGGACCGATTTTCTCGAAAGTTGGCAGACATCATTCTAGGCTCAATTCAGTACGTTATGCGAAATTTCGTGCAAATCGAAGGATATATAGGGACTTTGGGGCACCATTTACATGAAATCGGACGAACCTATATATGGGAGCTATATCTAAATTTGAACCGATTTTCTCGAAAGTTGGCAGACATCATTCCAGGCTCAATTCAGTACGTTATGCCAAATTTCGTGCAAATCGAAAGATATATAGGGACTTTGTGGCACCATTTACATGAAATCGGACGAAACTATATATGGGAGCTATATCTAAATCTGGACCGATTTTCACGAAACTTGGCAGACATCATTCTAGACCTAAATGATTAGGCTGTACCAAATTTCGTCCAAATCGAAAGATATATAGGGACCGTTTACATTAAATCGGTTAAATATATATGGGAGCTATATCTAAATCTGATCCGATTTTTCCCAATTTCAATAGGGTTCGTCCTTGGGCCGAATAAGTGACCTATGCCAAATTTCATCCAATTCAGATCATAAATGCGACCTGTGCTTTGTTTACAATTTAACATGGACAGACAGACGGACGGACGGACGGACATGCATAAATCGACTTAGAAAGTGATTCTATGCATATTCTCAAAAGGAACCAGGGGTCTATCTCGATTATTTTTGCCTGTTACAAACATATGCACAAAGACAGAATACCCTGTACCACAGTGTGGTGAAGGGTATAAAAATGATTGTGCTGTATAAGGTCTTATATGCGTATACGTAACGTCACCACGTATACGCTCCCATAAAAGTAGCTTACATACTTATATTACATTTTAAAGTATGCGTTCTGTTCAGAGTGAGACCCTAGAAATATTTTTTAAAAGATCCAAGCTTTTAAGGGACCCTATCCACGCCTTGCTTGGGAGACTAAAAATATTTTTTAAAAAAATCCACGCCTTCTAAGAGATCCACGCCTTATTTGGGAGACTAAAAATATTTAAAAAAAATCCACGCCTTCTAAGAGATCCACGCCTTGCTTGGGAGACTAAAAATATTTAAAAAATAAAATCCACGCCTTCTAAGAGATCCACGCCTTGTTTGGGAGCCTAAAAATATTTAAAAAAAAATCCACGCCTTCTAAGGGATGTACGACTTATTTGGGAGCCTAAAAATATTTTTAATACATCCACGCCTTGTGTGAGATCCTAAAAATTTGTTTTAAAAATCCACGTCTTTTGAATGGTTGGCGTATAATTAACGTCACTACGTATACGCACCCACATCCAGTAAGCGCAAAATTCAGTTCATGTGTATTACTTATTGAAATATTTTATTTATTTTTTCTATATTAAATTAACATAATCCAATTGGACCAGGGTAATAATATACGAAACCGTTTGAGCAAAAATACAAAATAACGAATTCCAATTTATATCGAGTATGCCACAAAAATTGACCGACGGCGAATGTAGGCAACGACTGAGAATCAATAATTCTAGCTGTAAGACAAAATAATTTTATATTTGGGGATAATTAAAGGTGTATGGGTTCATACCTCTCTTTCGATACTCTCACATTTATTTGTTGCGTATCCAATAAGAATAATCTCAATATCCCTAATGGTCGTTTCAACCTCATCGCACAGCATAAAGTAAATATACCAATGAATCAGCAAGAAACCATAGAAAATGCTACCAAAAATATGTTTATATATCATACGATCCAAATCCGGTAACAATATAATGACCAGGGTAATATAACCCACCATCGAGTTGGAGAGGAGTACACACAGTATTACACACAACATGCTTGGACCATATATCTGATTCAGTTGGCCATAAAGGCAACGTAATCGATTGTAGATTGCAGGAAGTTGTGGATCAACCCACCTTTGACTTAATTGCCCATGTAAAATCGAAAAACATTCACGTAAATAGCATAACAACCCGGCATGTATAAGCATGAACGTATGCTGTATTGATAACATAAAAAAGAATGGATATAGCGTGAAATCGATGTTATTTTCCATTTCCGAATTGTGTAGCCCCAAATTCGTTGATTCGATGGCATAATGTGTGACCGCTATCAAACTGCTCAAATATAACCATTTGCGATGGGACACATCTCTGAGTTCTGCCAAAGGCTTAGTTTGGCGATCGAAGTAATTCATTTGTATTTCCATTATGGCCTCTAGCCAGGATTCTAATCGTTTATACCTCTGCTGCAGTGTCACAGCGACAACCAAAAACATCAGAATCCTTATTAGGGCTGTGGTATTATTGGCATAAATCGCAACCGGATTTGTTAAATATAGCTGAGACTTCTCGAAAATATCCTTAATACAGAAGGGTATAAATAATGCCAAGCTAATAATTGTGATATACATGAAAACTTGTATCCATAGGCGAAGTCTGACGATTCGACGTTTTCTCAAATCTACACGAAAGTTGATGCTACTGGTGATAATACAAAATATCACAATGGTCTGGAACCACCAACGTTGGAACATTTTAATGTTCGCTAATTAATATCGGTGCAGACACAAAAATAAAATAACCGAATATTTTATTTCAATGCCAGCTAATTTTTTTTTTTGACTCATTGCTTAATTAATAATTAAAGAAATTGCGCTTTTGTTTTAACAATTCCTTAGATCGTATACGGGATAATCTCATTATATTAGTAATACGCTACCTAATCTCTATGCAGAATGCATACTTTAAAATTCGATATATGTATGTAAGCCACTTTTATGGGAGCGTATACGTGGTGACGTTACTTTTTATTAAAACATATTTTTAGGCTCCCAAACAAGGCCTGGGATTTATTAAAACCTATTTTTAGGCTCCCAAACAAGGCCTGGGATTTATTAAAACATATTTTTAGGCTCCCAAACAAGGCCTGGGATTTATTAAAACATATTTTTAGGCTCCCAAACAAGGCCTGGGATTTATTAAAACATATTTTTAGGCTCCCAAACAAGGCGTGGATTTATTAAAACATATTTTTAGGCTCCCAAACAAGGCCTGGGAATTATTAAAACATATTTTTAGGCTCCCAAACAAGGCGTGGATTTCCTAAAACATATTTTTAGGCTCCCAAACAAGGCCTGGGAATTATTAAAACATATTTTTAGGCTCCCAAACAAGGTGTGGATTTTTTAAAACATATTTTTAGGCTCCCAAACAAGGTGTGGATTTTTTAAAACATATTTTTAGGCTCCCAAACAAGGCCTGGGATTTATTAAAACATATTTTTAGGCTCCAAAACAAGGCCTGGGATTTATTAAAACATATTTTTAGACTCCCAAACAAGGCCTGGGATTTATTAAAACATATTTTTAGGCTCCCAAACAAGGCCTGGGATTTATTAAAACATATTTTTAGGCTCCCAAACAAGGCCTGGGATTTATTAAAACATATTTTTAGGCTCCCAAACAAGGCCTGGGATTTATTATACCCTTCACCACACTGTGGTACAGGGCATTATGTCTTTGTGCATATGTTTGTAACAGGCAAAAATAATCGAGATAGACCCATGGTTCCTTTTGAGAATATGCATAGAATCACTTTCTAAGTCGATTTATGCATGTCCGTCCGTCTGTCTGTCTGTCTGTCCATGTTAAATTGTAAACAAAGTACAGGTCGCATTTATGATCCGAATTGGATAGGTCACTTATTCGGCCCAAGGACGAACCCTATTGAAATTGGGAAGAATCGGTTCAGATTTAGATATAGCTCCCATATATATTTTACCGATTTAATGTAAACGGTCCCTATATATCTCTCGATTTGCACGAAATTTGGTACAGCCTAATCATTTAGGTCTAGAATGATATGTGCCAAGTTTCGTGAAAATCGGTCAGATTTAGATATAGCTCCCATATATATTTTCGTCCGATTTAAGGTAAATGGTGCCCCAAAGTCCCCATATGTCTTTCGATTTGCACGAAATTTGACATATCGTACTGAATTAAGCCTAGAGTGATGTCTGCCAAGTTTCGAGAAAATCGGTCCAGATTTCTATATAGCTCCCATATATAGTTTCGTCCGATTTCATGTAAATGGTGCCCCAAAGTCCCCATATGTCTTTCGATTTGCACGAAATTTGACATATCGTACTGAATTAAGCCTAGAGTGATGTCTGCCAAGTTTCGAGAAAATCGGTCCAGATTTAGATATAGCTCCCATATATAGTTTCGTCCTATTTCACGTAAATGGTGCCCCAAAGTCCCCATATGTCTTTCGATTTGCACGAAATTTGACATATCGTACTGAATTAAGCCTAGAGTGATGTCTGCCAAGTTTCGAGAAAATAGGTCCAGATTTCTATATAGCTCCCATATATAGTTTCGTCCGATTTAATGTAAATGTTGCCCCAAAGTCCCTATATATCTTTCGATTTGCACGAAATTTAGCATAACGTACTGAATTGAGCCTAGAATGATGTCTGCCAAGTTTCGTGAAAATCGGTCCTGATTTAGATATAGCTCCCATATATAGTTTCGTCCAATTTCATATAAATAGTGCACCAAAGTCCCTATATATCCTTCGATTTGCACGAAATTTGGCATAACGTACTGAATTGAGCCTAGAGTGATATCTGCCTTGTTTCGTGAAAATGGGTTCAGATTTAGATATAGCTCCCTTTTAATTTAGATTGATTTTAAGTGATTGACGCACCAAGGAACCAATAGGAACAAAACGTTCTGAAATTAGTATAACCTAACCAGTGACAAGTTTGTTTGAAATCGCTTAATATTTGGATAGACCTTACATATATATTTTTTTGCCCGATTTCAAGTAAATTGGGCATCAAATTCCTCATGTTAGTCAGATCGACAACATGCCCTATTTTCCTTGAGAATATTCACAGGTTATATAATAATATTTGTACACCTTGATACGCCTTTCGAATAACCCCATAAATATATCCGAAATTTGTTTATTTTCCCAAAAATCCATTCATTTAACCTCATTCCGAACGCTTTAATATTTAACAATACTAAATGGCGTATAAGTGTTGTCAGCACGTATACGCACCCTTATCCATTCATTTAATGACCAAATGACCGCGGAAACATTCGAGATAATCCAATAATTATGTAATTTAATGTTCTTTCATTTACATAATCTTTCCGAACCACTAAGCGGCTTTAGTTGTTATCCAAATACCCACAATGTTAGAACGTTTACCGGTGTGGTGGTTCCACTTCATAACCATCTTCTGTATGTGTACCTGTACCATGGTGTTTCGTATCGATTTTGCAATTCGTCGTTTAATAAAACCTCGACTCTGGCTAAAAATTGTCGTCTATCTACCACTCTGTATCTTCTCCTTGCATGTACCATTAGCTGTTATGGTATCTCTTTTGCAGGAAGAGCTATTTTTTGAAAATATTGTTGCAGTTTACATCAACTGGTTGACGGTGTTCTCACGTTATCTGCTGTTCTTTGTATACGCCATTAGGCTATGTCATCGCCACAAAAAGTTGGGCGAATTTCTGGAGAAAGCATTAAAGTTGCAGGCATCGTATTTCGATTGTCATCGACAGGTGCCACGGGATATGGGACATCGTAAGTGGTTATATATCAATAGTTTGATATCATGTAGCCATCATATTCTGGAATCCTACTTTGTTGAAGATGATAAAGATATCAATCCTGAGAAGCCCACCGATTGGATTAAGTCTAAAATGTTTGTCGTCATTAATACTCAGCATTTCTATATGTTGCAACATGCCACATTTCTATGCTATCTGAGGGAATGTTTCTCCGTTCTCGATCATCAATTGGCCGCAAAGCAGATAAATCCCGAAATATGTCGAATCTATGGTCAATTGCGAAACTTATATGTGGAAATAAATCGAATTTATAGTTCAACAAATTCGATAATACTCTTCAGCAACTTTCTCACCAACTCCATGCTGGGCTATGTCCTGCTGATGTATTTGAATCTGCCGAATTTTAATATCGATCAGTTTATCTATCTTTCTGGTAATGGACTATATTTTTGGATACTTCTACATTGGTATATCTATATTATGCTGTGTGATCGGGTTGAGACCACCATCAGGGATATCGATGTTAGACTCTATGACTATACCACGGAAGAGAATGCCACAAAGGAGGTCTGTAACTTGGATTTAGTTGCGAAAAAGAATTATTAAAAACATTTTTTTTCTTCGTAGATTGAAATTATTTCCTTCAATCGTAGCCTTCACAGGCCTGGTACTGGTTTCTCTGGCCATCGAATCGATATAAATCGAAGCCTTTTGTTTTCCATTACAGCTCAGACAGTTCAATATATTATAACTCTAATACAATCGGATTATTTTCAATTGATTTGAATAAAGAATATTGGCGATTAAAAAAGCCATCGATAAGCGGGGGCGTATACGTGCTGACAACACGTATACGCCTCTTAGTAACAAATTAATTTTATTGCATTTTTAGACACAGATCGAGATTTTTTTTTAAATTTAGGGTCTCATACAAGATCTGGATTTATTAAGAGAATATTTTAAGTATCTTATAAAAAGCGTGGATTTATTAAAAAATATTTTAGGATCCCTGAGAAAGCGTGGATTTATTAAAAAATATTTTAGGGTCCCTGAGAAAGCGTGGATTTATTAAAAAATATTTTAGGGTCCCTGAGAACGCGTGGATTGTTTTAAAAACTATTTTTAGGGTCCCTTAGAAAGCGTGGATTGTCTTAAAAACATTTTAGGGCCCCATTTAATTTACATGTGGAGTTGCGTATACGTCCTCTCAGTACTTATGCGCATATTTGCCTTATTAGTTAAACGTGGTGGCTGGCGTATACTTACCGTCAATACTTATACGCCTAGACTTATTAATTAAATTATTTTCCTTTGGGAAAATAAAATCCCCGAGTTTTTATACCCTCATCACGCTGTGGTACAGGGTATTATGTCTTTGTGCATATGCTTGTAACAGGCAAAAATAATCGAGATAGACCCATGGTTCCATTTGAGAATATGCATAGAATCACTTTCTGACTCGATTTACGCATGTCCGTCCGTCTGTCCATGTTAAATTGTAAACAAAGTACAGGTCGCATTTATGATCCGAATTGGATGAAATTTGGCACAGCTCATTTGTATGGCCTAAGGAGGAACCCTATTAAAATCGGTTCAGATTTAGATATAGCTGCCATATATATTTTCGGCCGATTTAAGGTAAATGGTGCACAAAGTCTCTGAAAATCATTCGATTTGCACGAAATTTGGCACAGCGTACTGAATTAAGTCTAGAATGATGTGTGTAAAAATTCTTGAAAATCGGTTCAGATTTCGATATAGCTCCCATATATATATTCATCCGCTTTTAGGTAATTGGTGCACCAAAGTCCCTAAAAATATTTCGATTTGCACGAAATTTGGCACAGGGTAATGAATTAAGTCTAGAATCACGTGTGCTAAGTTTCGTGAAAATAGGTTCAAATTTAGATATAGCTCCCATATATAGTTTCGACCGATTTTAGGTA